TCTAGATCCGAAACGTCAGCTTTCCTGCTCCTCTGATGCTGCTTGGCCTGCTGTGTTCATCCAGCTCTACACCTTGTTATCTCGAAATCTTGTTGGTAACTTCTTCATCTGTGAATTATGTGGCAAATATGATCATTTTGATTTACAAATCTCGATTGGAATTGAAACATGGGATTCAATAGAAATGTTTGAACCCACGAGAGGTTTTAATAGAGTAAGTAAAGAGAAACTATTTCCAATGATAAGAGGGTTGGTAACCAGAGGGCACAGATTTAAAATGATTGCCAAAAGATCCAGAGGAAGAAATGAGCAAATGTTTTTTTTTATGCAGTTCATTGTTGATATTAGAACATGTTGCCTGAAATGGTGTTGGATGAGGATTCAATAATAACTTTCAAAGCATGATTGAATAAGGCAAGATGATTCTCTTGGAGATGGACATTATCTGGCACTTGTGAAATGTGGATATTACTTGCCACTTATCAGCACACATGTGGATACTATCCATGTCTTACTGCATATAGACATGGATTGCTTCAGTATCTGAGGAGTCACGACTGGTGCAGGTTATCAGTGAACAGCTCCATTCTGACCTTTTGAAGGATAGAAGATCATTGGAGCAGCTGAAGATGGTTAGGCCTAAGACACTGCCCTGAGGAACTAATGCACTCGTGGCATAGTGGTAGCACGCCTACCTCTGGGACAGGAGGCCTGGATTGAAGTACCACTTGCTCCAAATTTGTGTAATAACATCTCTGAACAGTTTGATTATAAATTATCTACCTGGAGGCACTAGTACAGAGATGTCCTGGAGCTGAGATGACTGACTTCCAAAAACCACAACTATTTTCCTTTGTGCTGAGAATGACTGCAACCAGTGGAGAGGATTTGCCATGATTCTCATTGATTCTAGATCTATTACAGATCCTTGATGCCATACTCGATCAAGTGTGGACTTGGTGTCAAGGGCTGTCACTCTCACCTTGGAAATTCTGGGTTGACCCTCGCCAAATCTAAACTGAGTGTCAGTGAGCAGACTATTGTTGAGCAGGTTCTGCATGATAGCACTGTTGATGGCACCTTCTAAACATACTTGATGATGGGGAGTTGACTGTGGTGGTGATTTGCAGGGTTGGATTTGACCTGCTTTTTGTAAACAAGACATACCTGGCAATTTTCTACATTGCCAGGTTGATGCCAGTATTATAGCTGAAACAGCTTGCCTAGGAGTGTGTATGGCATGTTCTGAAGCACAAGTCTTCGGTAATGTTGCTGAAATATTGTCAGGGCTCATAACCTTTGTATTATCCAGCATCATTTGCTGTTTCTTGAGTAGCACATATAGTGATCTGAATTGGTAGGAGACTGGCATCTGTGATGCTGGGGACCTCAGGAGGAGATCAAGAATTTTTAAAGTTCATCTATAGGATATGAGCTTCACTAGTTGGGCTAGCATTTATTGTCCATCCTGACTTCACTGGATAAATGGTGGCAAGTTGCCTCTTGAACTGCTGCAGTCCTTTGGGTTTAGGGTTATCCACAGTGCTGTCAGGAAGGAATTTCCATGATTTTGACCTGGTGGTTATGAAAAAATGGTGATATACTTCCAAGTCAGAATGATGTGTGGCTTGGGGTCATCTTGTAAGTAGTGGTGTTCCCACAGATCTGTTGCCATTGCCCTTCTACGTGGTAGAGGTCAGAGATTTGGAAGGTGCTGTTAGAGTAGCCTTACATTTCTGCAGTGCACCTGGTAGATGGTACACTCTCTCCACCACTGACACACAGTGACAGCAGTGTGAATTAGAGTTAGGTTTGTGGATGTGGGGCTAAGCAAGTGGGTTGTATTGTCCTGGATGGTGTGAAGCTTCTTGCATGTTGTTAGACCTGCGCTCATCCAAGCAAGTGGGGAATATTCCAACATGCTTCTGACTTGTAAATGGTAGATAGGCTTTGGGGAGTCAGGAAGTGAGTTACATACAGCAAAATTCCTAACCTCTGACCTGATCTTGTAGTCATAGAGTTTCTGTGGCGGGTTTAGTTCAGTTTCTGGTTAATAGTAACCTCTAGGATGTTCATAGTGGGAGATTTTGCGATGATAATTGCATTAAATGTCAAAGATGGTGTGTTTTTCCTCTCCCATAGGGAGTAATTGAAGTAAATGTTGTAAATTAATTTAAGGCGAAACTGAATAGAAACATGAGGGAGAAAGGAAAGAAGATATATTGATAGGGTGAGATGAAGGTCTCGTGAAATGAAGTTAGGATAAGCACCTAGGTTAAATTGTTTGGTTTGTTTAATTTGTGCTGTTAATCCTAACACATTTTAAACAATTACTTCTCTTTCGTTTTTTTTTAAATTGACTCATTGCTAGCAACAAGTTTGATAAATTATTGTCTTTGTTCCTCCCATCCTCTGTACAAGGTATTCTTACCAAGGCAGTGTAAGCATTCTGAAAGTGATATAAGCTCTTGTAGTTATAAAAAACAATGATAACTGCAATGGCCATCTCCAACACGGTGAACAGCAGGAGAGCTATTGTTAAAGAAAACGTTGATGTCTGTTGAAAAGATGGAAGATTTTATAAAACAAAATACAGATCTCATAGCGTTTCCTTTGATGAAATTAGAGATAATAAACATTTTACTAAAGTGGAAATGAATAGAACAGAAAAATATTGTTTTTGAAGTTGAAACAGCTATTAACATCAACTCCTTCAGCATCATAAAATCTCCTCCAAATGCTGATCTTTTGTGGCAATTTGATTGCCATTGCACCATTCCTGTCCACTTCTCTTGCTTCTTCCCAATTTAAAATGGTCCTTATGACCTGTCTCTTTGGAGAAGCTTTTGTGCAAGTTACAAACTCTCTTTATTAGTTCAGGGTCACATTTTATCCAAATTATGCTTTGGTGAAATGCTTTGGGAGATTTCACAATGTTAAATGCACAGTATAAAAGCAAGTTGTTATTACAGGAGTCTGACTGGAGCCTGTGGATGCAAGAAAAGGGCCCAAGAGCGTAAATAATGAGTGACATTTGTGTGTCTAGAGGATTCTGTATTTTTCAGCACTTGTTGGCTTATGTGTTCATTACACCTCTACTTGTATGCCATCTAGAGTTATTCTGCAAGAATAGCACTTGATACAAAACTTGGAAGCATCATAATCAGACGAGGATATACAAAAGGATAATTGACGGATTTAGGAGTGGATGGAAAGGTGGCAGATGAAGTTCAGCACAGAGAAGCATGCGCTGAGCACTTTGCAAAAATCATGAAGAGACAGTTCAAAATAAAGGATACTATTCTAAAGGGTGTGCAGGAACAGACAGACTTGGTGTACATGTACATAAATCGTTAATGGGTGGCAGGGCACGTACAGCAGCAAATAGTATTCTAGGCTTCATTATTAGAGGTATAGAGTACAAGAGTAGTGAGGTTGTACTGAACTTGTATAAGACACTGGTTAGACCTCAGCTGGAGTACTGTCTACACCTTTGGATGCCATCATAGGATGGATGTGAATATATTGGAAAGAATGCTGAAGAGTTTTACAAGAATAGTTCCAGAGATCAGAAACTTCAGTTATGAGAAAAGATTGGAGAAGTTGCGTCTATTCTCTTTGGTGAAGGCTAGTATGAAATTTGATTGTAGCTCTCAAGATCATGAAAGGTCTGAACAGAGTAAATAGGGAGTAACAGGAAGAAATTTGATGTTTTAGATCAATCTTTTCCACACTTTTGATGAGTTGTCTAGATTTGGAATGCACTGCCTGCAAGTATGGTAGAGACACGTTCAGTTGATAAATTCAGAGGGCATTAGATGTTTATTTAAGTAGATACAATATTCAGCATTGGGGAAAAGGCAAGAATTGGCACTAACTTAAAATGCTCAGAGATCTGGTGTAGACGTGATGGATTGAACAGCCTCTTTCTATACCATAATAATTCTGTAATTCTGTGACTTCTGTATATAGCAGCCTCATTTCCCTCAGTGTGTCGGTGTTACGATTCTCACACCCTGGTGTCAAAATCTGCTGTTCCACTCTCTGACTGTGTAAATATCTACAGCCCCACTCCCTCAGTGGTGCAGTAGTAATGTCACTAGATTAGTAATTCAGAGTTGATGCATGTGGGTTTGAATCTACTAATAAATAAATATGGAGTTTAAAACTAGTCTAAACGTTATGATGAAACAATGCTCAATTGTCAGAAGAAAATCTGTTGTTCTTACCTGGTCAGACCCACATTTGACTCTAGATCCACACCAACGTGGTTAACTCAAAACTGCTCTAGCAATGTAGAATGCCTCTTAGTTGTACCAAGCTACTGCAGAGTGGAAGGAAAGGAATTAAACTGAACTGACCACCTGGCATCAAGCTAGGCACTAGAAATGACAATGGAAAACACAGCCTTGTCTAGACTCGAAAGTCCTTCTTATCAGCATCTTGTGCCAAAATGGTCAGGGATGAATAAGATCTAGTAAAGCAATAATCTGACACAGTCATACTCACAGAATCATGCCTTCCAGACAACACCTTCACCACCCCTGGTTATGTCCAGTCCCACCGAAAGGACAGACCTGCAAAAGTGGCTACATAATGGTATACAGTTGGGAGAAGTTGCCATGGGAATCCTTAAAATTGACTCCAAACATCATGAAGTCGCAGCATCTGTTCAAACAAAAGCAAGCAAAGCTCCTGCTGATTTCCATGTATCACCTAGTCCTCGACTGATCAATCAGTGCTCCATATTGAACAACAGTGGAGGAAGCACTGAGACCGGCAAGAGCACAGAATGTACTCTGGGTAAGGGACTTCAATATCCATCGCCAAAGTGGCTCAGCAGCACCATACTGACCAAGCTGCTCCCAAAGGACACAATTGCTAGACTGGGTCTAAGGCAGGTGATGAGGGAACCAACCAGAAAGAAGAATATTCTTGCCCTCATCAACATGCCTGCTGCAGATGCAGCTACCCATGACAGTATTGGTAAGAGTGGCCACTGTGCAGTTGTTGTGGAGACAAAGTCCCACCTTCACATTGAGAATACCCTCCATAGACTTTGAACTGCTGAATTTGGAGCCAAATTGTATGGAAACACAATCTGCAATCTCATGGCCTGTTCTACCATTATCGTCAAGACAGATGATCAACCCTAATTCAATCAAGAATGCAGCGATCCAGGTGGAAAGTACTTGTGTGATATCAACAGCTGAGACATTGCATAAAGACTGCAGCAGTAGGTAGATCCTCAGTTGTCGAGGTTTTCTTGCCACTAGAACTGGATGTCACTCAGATAGATTATACCTAAAAACGAGGTGCCAATCTGGTGAAAAATCGTGGAAACAGGACTAACTGCATGCCAAACAGCATAAGCAGCAAGCGATAGGTGGAGCTAAGCGATTCCACAACTAACAAATCAGATCAAAACTGCAGTGTTATGCATCTAGTCCTTAAGTGTGATGAACAGCTAAACTACTATTAGGAAGCTCCATAAATATGCCCCACTTTCATTGATGGGGGAGTCCAGCACATCAATGTGAAAGATAAGACTGAATCATTCATAACAATCCTCAACCAGAAGCAGTAAATGGATGATCTGTCTAGGCCTGCTGCAGAAGCCTGCATTATCACAGAGCCAGTTTTCAATCAATTCAATTCATTCCACATCAATCAACAGCTGAATGCATTAAATACTGAAAAGGCTATGGTCTCTGACGATATTCCAGCAAGTGCACTGAAGATTTGTGCTATAGAACTTGATAAACTCCTAGCCAAGCTGCAGAGGTGCAACTCTGGCATCCATCTGACAATGTAGAAAACTACCCATCTGTGTGCAGCACACACAAATTAGAGATGAGGTCAGAATGATGTCCTTTCTGTCGATTGCTACCTTGCTGTGGGAGACAGGTTTGAGTGTCTGTTTATCCTGAGAGCAATGGCATCAGGTCTCAATTCTTGGCAGGGCCACCCATGAAAGGTCGGAGGAGAAGAACCAAACAAAGCGCAATCCAAAACAAGTTCTCAACAGTGATCCAGGCAGAAGGTATTAGTGTGATATCAATATCTGCGACATTAAATGAAGGCTGCAGCAGTAGGCAGATCCCTAGCTGTCGAGTTTCCTTGCTACTGGAAGTGGATATCACTGGGACAGCACGCTGGAAATCAAGCCTTGCAGTTCCCGGCATGTGCACAAAAGTTAAAGATTTAAGTATGTAAAATTCCCCAATTTATCTGTCTATTTATATCCAGGTTAATAGAAAATATGGACCAGCTTCTGCATTTAACATGTATGGTTATTTATTATAAATAAATAGATTCCAGCTATAGATAAATAACTATGAACTGTTGACCTATAACATTACTAGTTACAACTCTAACCCCGTTTTAAAAGTCCCCCTAAACACACAGACAGGTAAAAAAAATTGGTATTATGTCTGGGAGGAAAACTGGCAAGGTAGTTCAATGGCATTCATTCAGATAGACCTTTGTTTGCCAGGACTTGCTGTTCTTCAATCTCTCTTTTTCTTCAGGTGTTTTTCACTTCCTTGCAGGAGGCACATAGTGATTGATTCACAAATTGTACAATGATCAGTACCATTTGCAACTTTTCGGATGTTGAAACAGTCTGCTTCCATTTGCAGCAATACCTCAACAATATACAGGTTGGACTGGTAAGTAAAATTCGTGCCTCAGAAGTGCCAGGCAATGACCATCTCAAACAAAAGACAGCCTGACTATCTCCTCTTGACATTACTGGCATTACCAGTGCTGAGTTCACTAGCAACATCCTGGGATTTACCAAAGATCAGAATTGAGTCAGCCATGGAAATATTGTGACTACATAAACTGGTCAGCGGCTAACAAGTAACTCATCTTTTGTTTCTGCAAAGCTTTTCCAGCATCCATAAGACAGTAGTAAGGAATGTGATGGAATACTCTCTACTTACTTGGATCAGTGCAGCTCCAACAATACAGAAGGTACACTATTCAGGACAAAACTGCCTGCTTTATTAGCACCTCAGCCACCACTCAACATTCATTCCCTTCACCATCGATACTCAAAGGCAGTAGTATATAGCATATGAATGATGCACTGCAGCAATTCACCAAGGCTTGCTCGTCATCTAACCTACAACCTCTACCACCTAGAGGAAGAATAGTAGCTGCTACATATGAACATCACCACCCACAAGACACACGACATTCCGACTTGGAATTATAATTGCTTCTCCTGTCTCTGGGTCAAAATCCCTTTCTGACAGCAATCTGGGTGTAATTACATCCCAAAGACTGCAGCAATTCAAGAAAGCAGCTTGTTACCAACTTCTGTATGGGCCTAGCCAGCAACACCAACATCCCATGAACGAATATTAAAAGGGTGTTAAAATCAGCAGCTCCATATAGACAGCCTCACCAAGTCAGTATATTAATATCTGCAGCCCCACTTCCTCGTTGTGTCAATATCTGATGCTCCACCCCTTCAGTCAGTCAATATGTGCAGCCCTACACCTAGGAAATGAGGAGAGTTGTAGGGGTTGGAGGAGGGTGCAGAAATGATTTCAATGGGCTGCAAGATTTTTATTTTTTTTCTATTTTTACAGCATGTAGGTACATTTTATAGCAAAATTGCCATTAAATAAGGTTAACTTAAAACAAAAGAAAAAAGTTGATAACACTTCACTCTTTTAAGGAACTGGGTTTCCTGTAAGGAAGTATGCTGTGCGATACATATCACATAAATAAGGCAGAATTATTTCTGCTTGTATTGTAAGAACCATGGAATATATATTACTTACAGAAAAAAACACGAGCTCAGGAGCTGGAGTAAAAAGTAGCGAGATGGAATATATTATGATGCCAATGGCTGTTGCGACAGCACTGACGCCATTCATAAGTAGCCCTGCTTTCATCTAAGTACAATAAACAAAGAACATACGATGTTTCAAATAGGGTCTGCAGTATCAATCTTGCAATAACTGAATACCTATTACAGCTTTTCCCAGAAGTAGAAGAAGGAAACTTTACTTATTATCAAATTCCACTATGCTCAATTTGTTTGAGGGAAGGAGGATGGACTTGATTGGAAAGCAACGAGACTGAGGAGGACCTATTATTTACGCAAGGTTAGATTATTCGCTCCCTTTTGACTCCTGTTTCTCATTCTATGATTTCGTATTTTAACACATGAAGTTGAACAATTCTGTTAAAACAGACCAAAAAACCCATACCATACAAACAGAAGAAATAGAAATAGGAATAGCCCAATTTCCCTCTTGAGCCTGTTCCAGGCTCATGGATCATGGTTAATCGAACATTCCTCACATTCACTATTCTGCCCTACCCTGAAACCTTTGATTCCCTTACTAATCAATAATCTATATATCTCAGCCTTAAATATACACAAAGACTCTTCACCCACAGCTCTCAGTAACAAGAAGTCCCAAAGACACTCAACCCTCTGAGAGAAGAAATTCCTCTTTGTTTTAGTTTTAAATTAGCACCCTTTGTTTCGGAGACTACGACCTCTAGTGCTGGACTCTCACATGTGGAGAGACACCTTCTCAGCATTGATCCTGTCAAGCCCCTTAAGAATCCGATATGCTTCCATGAGATCACCCCTCATTCTTTTAAACTTCAGTGAGCAGAGTCCCAACTTGTTTAGCCTTTGTTTGTAAGACAATCTTTCCATACTGGAGATCACCCTAGTGAACCTTCTCTGAACTGCCTCCAATGAAATGACACCTTTCTTTAAATAAGGAGACCAAAATTGCTCTCAGTGCTTCGAGGCGGTCTTACAAGCATCTTGTATGTTGCAGTCAGATTTCCCTACATTTAAAGTAGGGAAACACCCTATGTTTCGTGCACAATTACCCTCAAGTACCTTTGTGTTGCAACTTTCTGTAGATTTTCACCAATTAAATAATACTGTTCTTTTGGTCACCCTTCAAAAATGAACATCACATTATACTTTACTTGCCAACTTCATGCTAATTTACTTAATCTATCAAGATCTCTCTGTAAACTGTTTTCATCCGTCTTGCAAGTTGCCTTTCCACCTATTTTCCTATTGCCTGAAGATTTGGCTACAATACATCTGCTTCCTTCCTCCAAGTCATTAATATATATTGTAAACAGTTACGGTCCCGTATCTGATCCCTGTGGAACCTGACTTGTTACAGGTTGCCAATATGAGAAAAAAAGCTCTTAACCCCATTAAAATAAAACAAAGGACTGCAGATGCTAGAGAACTGAAACAAAAACAGAAATTGCTGACTCACCAGTTCTGATAAGAGTTACTGGACTCAAAACTCTACTCTCTTCCTGCAGATGCTGCCAGTCCGGCTGAATTTTGCCAGAAATTTTTATTTTTGTCTCTTATCCCCAGTCACTGTTTCCTGCTCACTAGCCAATTTTCTACCAATACACTACCTTCAAAACCACAGTCTTCTGACTGAACCTTTTGGTGGTACCTTGTCAAATGCCTTTTAGAAGTCCAAATAGAACACATCTACTGATTCCCCTTTATCTGTTCTGGTTGAGACTTTCTCGAAAAACTGTAATATGTTGGTTAGACACAATTTCCCTTTCATGAAGCTACACTGATTCTGCTTGATTAGATTATGATTTTCGAAATGTGCCGTTATTACTTCCTTAATAATTTATTCCAACAGTTTTCCAACAATAAATGTTAGGCTAATCAACCCATAGTTACCTACTTTTTGTCTCCTTCGCTTTTTGAATAAGGGTGTCACATTGGCAGTTTTCCAAACCTCCGGTACTTCTCCAGAATCTAAGTACTTTTGGAGAATTACAACCAATGCATCCACTGCTTCGGCAGCTACTTCTTTTAAGTTTCTTGGATGGTAGCCATCAGGACCAGGGGACTTACCTGCCTTTAGTCCCATTAGTTTGTCTAATACTACTACTCTAGTGATGGTAATGGTACTTAATTCTCACCCGTATTCTTTAGTATTAATGGGCTGTTCAAACCATCTTCCGCCATAAGGACTGATGCAAAATCTCCGTTGCCATTTCCTCATTCCCCATAACTAGCTCCCCAGATTCATTTTCTAAGAGGGCCTTTGTTCATTTTAACCCCTTTCTTACTTTTCATATATTTGAAGTTCTTAGTGTCAGTTTTTATACTCCTTGCCCTCATAGTTTATTTACTTTCTCTTTTTAGTTCTCCTTTACTGAAATCTGAATTTATCCCAGTCTTTGGGGCTATCATTGACTTTTGCCTCCATATATGCTTTTTACTTTCCTTTTATATTTTCTTACGCTTCATTGGTTAGCCATGGTTGGTTTATTCCTCTCCTAGAATCTTTCCTCATATTGGGAAATACTTTTACTGAGAGTCATAAATTACCTCCTTAAGTATTATCTTACACCACTCAGTCACTAAAGATTTGACTTTTACATATGTGATCAGTAGTCTTTTTGACATTTCCTACTTTCATCACCCTTTCAGGCAGCATAGTCCAAAAAATAATGTCTTAATGCGTAATTTTTTTTCTGCTCATCTCCTAATCTGGCTTCCATGTGTTGTTAATTGGGCACACAGGCTCCTAGTAGAATCAGCAACTGGACATGCATACTTGCAACATAAACTCTTGACTACTCACAATAAATCTAGTTGGCTTCCTCTTCAGCTCAACGGTGAAGGATCCTGAAATAATATACTGGAAAAGAAACCAGTCAGATGGCAAAATGTTACAGCTGGGTTCAAATTACTTCAAAGCCATCCAAAAAGTTATTGGTGTTAATATGCAATAATGATGGGAAATTCCTCCTGTGTTCCTCCCATATTTTGCATGAAGCATCAATGGATGCATTATAAATCACACATTGTGAAACCTCAATCCTGCAATTTAATAAAACCCTACACTTATACCAAATAAGGAGGTAGAAGCTTCATTTGTCTCTTTGGGTTTTCCTGGGCAGTTTATCTGAATCAGTGCAAAACATTGAGGATTTCAGATTTAAGTTATGCTCAGCACAACAGGGGGTCCAAATATATACTTTTCCACAAGATGAAAAAGCATTTGGCATCCCAGAGTTAGACAGGAGTCGGCATGGCTGGAGTTCAGACTTGGTGATCAGCCTATCTTGAGTCATCGTCCATCTGCCCAGTGGCCACCCAGCAAATTCTACACCCAAATTCCTGGCATGCAATCTCACCTCACGAGGCTGTGCAGCAGACAGGAACAGGAGTTGGCCATTCAACCCTTCATGTTTGGTTTATCATTCAACAAAACTGGGTCCATGTCTTGAAAAGAAATTAACCAACCCCAGGATTAACATTATTTATTAAACTGTCGTCCACTGCTTTTACAGGCAAGAATTCCAAAACCTTGATATCGTTATTTGAAGGAGCACCTTTCTAATTTTTAGTTTGTAAAATCTAACCAATTTTATCAGGAGTCCTCTCTCTCTCTCTCAAAACTCTGATTAGGCCTCTTTGTGAGGGCAGCAATTTGTTGTGGTGTATAACAATGGCTGTTGTTACCCTCAGCACACAAGACTGCCACAATCTAACCAAGAGAAACTGACCCAAATTCCAGTCCAAAAAGCTACGCCAGATCTTCCCGCAACTGAATAAACCAGAGAAACAGAGAGAGGGACGCCGAAGATAAGCTGGATAATGCCAACCAATATCTGTGTGGCCTACAGTGAAGAGAAAACAGAGAGAAATTTTTTTCCGAGCTAAAAACAGAGAGTAACAACAGTTATTTCTAAGTTATTTTGAAAGAATCTTAATAGATAGTTGTAAGTTGGAATTGTTTATGAACTTGCTCTGCTGGTGGTTAACTTTGGGGCAGTACCATATGAGCTTTTGTTGAATCACTCGTGCTTTCTATGCCAGCCTTGATTTTTATTTCCATGTAAAACAGATAAAAAGAAGTCATGTTATATGTGCTTCCAAAAAAGCTGGTAAAAGCAAATTCAACAGTAAAGAGGATATAAATATTTAAAGGAGAAATTATTGCAGGGTGTGAGGAGTGGGATGAATTGGATGGCTTTCTCACAGGCACAATGGTCAAATGACCCCATTTGTTTTACATAAAGATCAGACTTGGCATAAAATCATTCCTAAATTGCTGTAAGCCTTGCTGTATTGACATAAACCAATTTCACCACACCTTACGTAACTGATATGGTATCACCCTGATATTTGCTGTTATACCTTAGCCTCTGCTGAAAGCAAAAGTGTGACTGTCTTGGCCACAGGAGAGGTGCCAGATGACTGGCAGACAGCTAATACCATGCCATTTTTCAAATAGGATGGTAGGGAATAAACCAGGAATTTACAGGCCATTGAGTCTAACATCTGTGGTAGTGAAATTTTCAGGAAAAATTCTGAGGGACCTAATTAATCTCTGATTGGAGAGGCAAGGATTAATCAAGGAGAGTTAGCATGACTTTGTAAAGGGAGATCATTGTCTGACAAGTTTTAAATTTTCTGAGGTGACTGGGTGTGTAGATGAGTATAGGGCAGTTGATGTAGTCTACATGGACTAGAATAAGGTTTTTGGCAAGGTGTCACATAGAAGATTGATCAAGAAGGCAAGAATCCATGGAATCCAAGGCAATTTTGCAAATTGAATTTAAATTTTGCTTCATAATATGAGGCAGAGGGTAAAGGTCAAAGGGTGTTTTTATAATTGGAAGCCTGTTCCAATGTCCATTGGCATACTGCAGAGTTCAGTGCTGAGTCCTTTGTCATTTGCAATGTGCATTAATGATGTAGGCACAAATATAGGCGGTTTCATTAGTAAGTGGTGAGGAAGAAAGCCTTAGTCTACAGGATGAGATGGATGGCTTGTCAGATGGGCTAAACAGTAGGAAATGGAGCTTAATTCCAAAAAGTGAAATGTATTTGGGAGGACAAACCAAGCAGTGATTACATTTGAATGATAGGATCCTAGGAAATACAGAGGATCAGAGGGACCTTGCAGTGCATGTCCATAGATCCTTGAAGGCAACAGTACAGGCAGGTAAGGTGGTTAAGAAGGCATATTGGATGCTTGGCTTTATTAGTCAAGAAATTGAACACAAGGTAAGGAGTTTTTGATGGAGCTGTGTAAGGCATTAGTTAAACCACAGTTGGAATACTGTGTGCAGTTCTGGTTGCCAACACAAGTATTTGATTGCAGTGGAGAGGGTACAAAAGAGATCCATCAGGATGTTACCTGGGCTGGAGCGATTTAGCTATAAAGAGAGACTAGATAGGCTGTGGAAGTTTTCCTTTGGGGAGGGAACGCTGAGAGGAAATTTAATGTGTACAAAGTTATGATGCGCATAGAAGTGAGGGCAGAAAAAATCTCCTCCCTTTTGTAGAGGGATCAATAACTAGTAGGCATAGATTTACAGAAGAAGCGGGAGATTTAGAGGGGATTAAAGGAAATATTTTTCCTTCTGGTGGTGGTGAGTATCTGGAATTCATTGCCTGAAAGGGTGGGTAGAGGTCTTCACAACATCTAAGAAGTATTTAGATGATCACTTGAAACACATAGCATACATGGTTATGGGCTAAATTATGGAAAATGTGACTGCAAAAGATAGGTGCTTAATGACTTGTGTGGATAAGATGGGCTGAAGGACTTCTTTTCATACTATAAAATTCTGCCAATATTATTAATGGAGTGTCTCAAGTATGCTAGTGCTGTTCTCACTATTAGAACATTTGGAAATATTAAAACTCTGTATATTAAATGATGAGAGTGTCGTAGTAGTGTCCCTACTTATAGGCCAGAGGCTTGGCTTCAGGTCCCACCTGCTCTGGGGGTATGTCATAATATGTCTGAACCGGTTGATTTAAAATATGTGAATCCAAAATTCCAAATCACTTTTTCAATGGTTTGCCTGTCCCATGTGTTTTTATCATTCACATGGTTAGCAAGTTTCACAATACCCACAAAAAAGAGCAGAAGAAACACAATTTAAACTTCCACAAAACTTCTGATGAACCACAGAATTATGACAGCACAGAAAGAGACCATTCAGACAGTTGTGTGTATGCCAACTGTCTGCAAGAGCAACTCATGTAGTCCCAGTTGTCTTCCTTTACCCTGTAGCTCCACAAATTTTTTCTCATGCAATTATCTAACTCAATTTTAAAAAACACAACTGTATCTGTCTCCACACACTTTCAAGCCAGGCCTTCCAGATCCTAACCACTGGCTGCATAAAACATACTTGTTCAAATTGCCACTTTTTCCCCAATGACCTTCAACTGGTGAATTCTGGTTTCCAATCCTCCTGCCAACAGGAACAGTTTCTCCACTCGACTCCACTGAGGTCAGTTTTCTCAGTAAACTAGATAGCAAAAATGTGTTTTAATTTCTGTGCTAATTCATGGAGGCTTGTCTCCTTGCCTTACCACCTGCTTGGTGCAGACTAGCACTGTTCAAGCTTTCTAATCACTTGCCTCTCTCACTAAGGTCCCCTGTGGTCGAGAATTAATTACTGTACTGTACTCTTCCCACATCCTTTACGATTTTGAACACCTCTATCAAATCTCGTCTCAATCTTCTCACCTCCAAACAGAACAGTTGTAGCTTGTCTAATCTATCTTCATAGATCAATCCAAGAACATTGTCCTAATTCTTGCAACTATTTTCATGAATCTTTTCTGCATCTTCCCTAAAGCCTTTACAGCATCCTCATGTTGCCTGGCCTGCTGTGTTCCTCCAGCTCCACACTGACTTATCTCTGACTCCAGCATCGGCAGTTCTTACTATCTCTGAGTGGGTTATGGCATCCTCAAATTGTGTTTCCCAGAATTGGTGTCAATGCTTGAGACTGAACTAGTTGTTAATCGTAACTTCCTTGCTTTTTGACTTTATGCATCTATTGTTAAAGTCCAGGAACTTGTGTGCTTTATTAACTGTTTTCTAAACTCTTTGTGTCTCCTTCAATGATTTATGCACCCAGGTTCCTATCCTCCAGCAGCTCCTTTAGAACTGTACCCTTTAAAGAGGCTTTTAACAGGTACAAAAGGAGCAAATCAGTGAGGCCTTAGTGGAATATAGAAAGTGCAGGGGGCAAGTTTAAGAAAGCAACTAGGAGACTAAAGAGGGGGACATGAAAAAACACTGTTGGGTAAGCTTAGGGAGAATCCAAAGATATTCTATAAGTATATCAAAGGGAAGAGGATAACCAAGAAAAGAGTAGAGTCTGTTAGGAACCAAGGGGGCAATCTGTACGTGGAAGTGGAGGACACTGGCAGGGTATTAAATGAGAACTTCACATTAGTCTTCACTTCGAAGAAAGAGGATGTCAGTACAGAATTCAGTAAGAGGGATTTTGAACTCCTTTAGCAGTTTGACATAGGGAGTGAGAAGATATTAGTGGCTTTCATGGACTTAAAAGTGAATAAATCCCCTGAATGAGTTGTATCCCAAACTGTTGTGGGAGACAAGGGAGGAAATTATAGGGACTCTGATGCAAATTTTTAATTCTTCTGTGGTCAGAGGAGAGGTGTTAGAGGACTGGAGGATAATGTGGTTTCACTTTTCAAGAAGGGTGGTGGAGATAAACCAGGGAATTACAGACAAGTGTGTCTCACATCAATGGTAGAGAAACAATTAGAGAAAATTCTGAAGGAGAGAATTAATCTCCACTTGGAGAGGCCAGGTTTGATTATGGATAGTCAGTAAACACTTTGTCAGAAGGGGTCACGACTAACAAATTTGTTTGAACTCTTCAAGGAGGTGATTCAGTGTGTAGACCAGTAGCACAGATGATGTAGTAGTTTATATGGATTTCAGTAAAGCTTTTGACAAGGTCCCACATGGAAGACTGATAAAGAAGGTAAAAGCAGATGGGATCCAGAATAACTTGGCAAACTGATGGTGGAAAGCTGTTTATGTGACTGCAGTCCAGGGTCCACTGGCATACCACAGGGATCAGTGCTGGATCACTTATTGTTTGTAATGTGGGGTGGATGATTAGTGCATTTGCTGATGACATGCAGATTGGCCAGGTGATTGACAATGAGAAAGAAATTCTTATGTTACAAGACAATATAGGCAGATTGGTCAGATGGAGTTTAGCCCTAATAGGAAGGAGGAAGTAACAAAATAAAGAAGTGGTCAATGAATGGTTGGATACCAGGAAGCTCAGAGGAATCTTGGAGTGTTTGTCCACAGATTCCTGAAGACAGTAGGGCAAGTTAACAGTGTAGTTAAAAAGGCAAAATGAAAATTGAAGGAACTGCTGATGGTGTAAATCAGGAACAAAAACAGAAATTGCTAGAAAAGCTCAGCAGGTCTGGCAGCATCTGTGAAGAAAAGTCAGAGTTAACGTTTCGGGTCCAGTGACCCTTCCTGTGGTTAAAAAGGCATATGGGAAACTTGCCTTTATCAGTTGTGACATAGATTCACATGCCTGGAATGGAGCAGTTTACCTGTGAAGAGAGCTGGATAAGCTTGGATTGTTTTTTTTAGAACAGAGAAGGCTGAGAGGGGACCTCACTGAGGTTTCTAATATTATGAGGGGTGTGGACAGGGTGGATTGAGAACAGCTGGTCCCCTTATTTGAAGGGTTAATAACAAGGAGGCATAATTTTAAGGTGAAAGGTTTGAGAGGTCTAGAAGGGAATTTGAGGTAATATTTTCACTCAGAGGCTGATGGGAATTTGGAATGTAGGAAGTTTCACAAATTTTAAGAAGTACTTTGATGAGCACTTGACATGTCATAACTTTCAAAGCTCGGGCCAAATGCTGGAAAGTGGGACTAGTGTAGATTTAGAGTATTTTTTGTTGATGCAGACTTGATGGGCCAAAGGGCCTCTTCTATATGATTCTATGATTTTATGTTGCCTCTCTTTGGTCTTGTTACCAGAAACAATTATTTCACCAGGTTAAATTTCATCTCCCACAGGTTCGCACACCCCATAAAGCAGTCCATTTTCTCCTGAAGACTATCACTTTGCTTCCCAGAGTTCACTATAATTCTGACTTTTGAGTCATCTAATGTTTGAATTAAATCAAATCTTTAGGCAATCCTGGCTGAAAGAACCAAGATTAAATGAATGTGAACTGGAAATTTTAACCAAGCTCAAGATTGATCAACCAAATTCCAGAAATAAATAGTTCTTTAACAAACCCTTGTCAAATTCACATTTTGAGCAGAGAAAAGGGTAAATGCACACTAGGGACTGCCACCATTTCACATTAAGAAAAGAAAGGAAATTTGATGTTTACTCCCAAAGCTTTAAGTTCTCTCCTGAGAATCCACATCTCAGACGAGGCTGTAGATGTTGTGGAGTTAACCTGTACCGCCACTGGGATTCTTGTAGCTTCTTGCAGTATATGATGAGTTTTGCCTTCAACCTTTCTCCCTTCAGCTGAAGTAGGGACCGATGTTTTCTGTTGGAAAAAAAGTGAATCAGTTATCCTTCTATTATGTTTTCAATAATCTCAAAGAAAGGATTTGGCACATGAACATTTTAGAATAGAAGAAATAGAAGTAAGAGAGAATCTTCTATCTCAATGCCATTTTCTACCAACTGTTCTACCACCCATGGTGAGGCCAATATGCTCAAATCTGCCAGGTCATTTCGCAAAATACCATAAATTCCTTCTATTGGAATTTGTTTCACAATCTCACTACATTTTCTCCATTTATCAAGTCACATTTTAATGCAACTATATATAATGAAACTGGTTTACAATCTCCATGTATACCTCCAATTAATATTATGTCCTTCATTAATTCCTCTGGAAAACAAATATTTTCATTAGCCAGCATCAATGACTGACTTTCTCCAGCATCTATCAAAATCTTTATTGGCTTACCTCACTGATTTGAAGCACAAAGAAAAGCCTTTCATACTCAAAGTCTCCAGTCATCTACTTCTCCACATCAATATTTCAAGACAAATTTTTATGATTCTCTGAGGCATCTTTCCTTTTTTTAGTACTGAAATAACTCCACAGAGGCCAGTATCCCGTCACCAAGTCACCCTTTATTTACACGTGCATTTTACTTGACACTGTCCAGCTTTCTCAGAGCCAGCTCTCACAGTGACACTCCTTTTTATATCTGTCAGCCAGGACTCCCTGATTGGACCAGGTTAACAAACCCAATCAGGGAACTCATATTCTATGAGGTTCACATGGCTGACCTTGATAGAAGCACTACAAGGATAGTCTAAAGAAAAGTTCTCTTTTTACCACCAATACTGTTTTAATACCTATTTCCTTTCCAGAACATTCCTTAGACATTTCTACTACTGCATTGATCTCCGATTTAACTCACAGCAACTGGCTTTTGTATATCAAATCTGATTACAATGGAAGTACATCAGTTTTATAATACCATTTTTTGTTGTAGCCCTTCTCCTTTAATACTTTGGTACCTTCTGTATATTTTCTAAAACAAGTACCTCTTCCGTCCATAGATTTTTTAAATTCATTCAATTTCCTTGTGCATTTCCATATTATCATCTCCCCACCTATAATTGGCTGTTAGAAATATCACAGGTATCTGCCATAACTGCTGCTTCACTGATCTGCAATACATGATATTCATGTAAATACATTTTTAAGAACGTAGGAATGCTATCTCTGAATTCTTTCACAATCATAATTTCCCTTAGATTCTCAAAAATGTTCTCTTGAGCAATCTAATCTATGATCTCACAGCATTTCATAGAAGAATCCCTACAGTGTGGAAGCAGACCATTCGGCCTATCGAGTCCATATCAACCCTCCGAAGACCATCCTACTCAGATCCACAGCCCCCATGCAATCCCTGTAACCCTGCATTTTCCATGTCTAATTCACCTAGCCTGCACATCCCTGGATACTATGGGCAATTCAGCATGGCCAATCCACCTAACCTTCACATCTTTCGACTGTGGGAGGAAACTGAAGCACCGGCAGGAAACCCACGCAGGCACAGGGAGGATGTGCAAACTCCACACAGAGAGTCGCCTGAGGATGGAATCGAACTCCAGTTCCTGGCGTGGTGATGCAACAGTGCTAACCATTGAGCTACAGTGCCGCCTCCTGTTAGTTTCTCCCTTTAAAAAATCGACATCTGTGTGATTAGTTTTCTTTCTTAATCCCAAATTTTAAGTGATAAACTTAAGACTTAAGCTCATAAACATTGATTATTGCCTTTTTGGAAGTTTCATACTCTGCAGATTTCTGTTTTGATAAACTGGTGAATAGAGCTGGAGTCATACAGCACAGTAACAGGCCCTTCGGCTTGCCTCGTCCATGCCGACTAGGTTTCTTAAACTGAACTAGTCCATTTGGTTGCATTTGGCCCATATTCCACTAAACCTTTCCTATCCACGTACCTGTCCAAATGTCTTTTCAATATTATAATTGTACTTGCCTTTATCACTTCCTCTGGCAGCTTGTTTCAAATAGCCACCACCCTCTGCATGGAAAAGTTGAATTCGGGTCCCTTTTAAATCTTTTCCCCGTCACCTTAAACCTATGCTCTCTAGTTTTGGACTCCCCTACCTGGGGAAAAGACCTTGGTTATTCACTTTATCTATGCCCCTCATGATTTTATAAATCTCTGTAAGGACTCCTCAGCCTCCTGCGCTCCAGGGAAAAAACGTCCAGCCTATCCAGCCTCTCCTTATAACTCAAAACCTCCAGTCTCGGTAACATTCTTGTAAATCTTTTTTTGCACCCTTTCCAGTTTAATAACATCCTTCCTATAGCAGGATGATTAAAATTGTACACAGTGCTCAGAATGTGACCTTGCCAATGTCTGTAACAGCTGTAACAAGACCGTCCCAACTCCTGTACTCAGTGCTGTGACCAATGAAGGCAAGCATACCAAATGCCTTGTTCACCACCCTGTCTACCTGTGATGCCACTTTCAAGGAACTATGTACCAGCATCCCTAGATCTTTGTTCAATAATACTCCCCAGGGCCTTATCATGAACTGTGTAAGCCAATCCCTGGTTTGTCTTACCAAAATGCAACATCTCACGTTTATCTAAATTAAACTCCATCTGCCATTCCTTAGCCCACTGGCCTAGTTGATCAAGATCCCATTGTACTCCTTAGATAATCTTCTTCACTCTCCGCTCTACTGCCAATTTTGGTGTCATCTGCAAACCTACTCACTGTGTCATCCAAATTGTTTATATAAATGAGGAACAACAGTGGACCCAGCGCTGATCCCTGTGGCATACTGCCGATTACAATCCTTCAGTCTGAACAACTATCCTCTACCACCACCCTGTTTCCTACTGTCAAGCCCATTTGGCTTGCTCTCACTGGTTGCAATGTGATTTAACCTTACTAACCTGTCTACTATCCAGAACCTTGTCAAAGACCCTGCTAAAGTTCATGTAGACCACAGTTACTGCTCTGCCTTCATCTATTTTCTTGGTCACCCCTTCAAAAAACTCAATCCAGTTTGAGACACGATTTCCCAGGCACAAAGCAATGCAGACTATCCCTAATCAGCCCTTGCCTTTTCAAATGCATTTAGATACAGTCTCTCAGAATCCCCTCCAAAAACTTACCAACTGACCTTAGGCTCACTGGTCTGCAGTTCCCTGCTTTTCCTTGCAGCCTTTCTTAAATAATGGCACAACATTAGCATCGTCCAGTCTTCTGGCACCTCACCATGGCATTCACTGATATAAATATCTCTGCTAGGGGCCCCGCAATTTCTTCCCTAGTTTCTTACAATGTCCTTGGATGCACTTGATCAGGTCCTGGGGTTTTATCCATCTTTATACATTTTAAGAACTCCAGCACCATCTCTTTTGTAATGTGGACACTCTTTTCATAACATCACGATTTATTTCATCAAGTTCCCTAGCTTCCATGTCTTTCTCCACAGTACATGCTGACGCAAAATATTCATTTAGGATTTCACCCATATCCTGTGGTTTCACACATAGATGGCCTTGTTGATCTTAAAGGGGTCCTATTCTCTCCCTAGTTACTTTTTTGCCCTTAATATACTTGTAGAATCCCTTTGGATTTTCCTTAACCTTATCTTCCAAAGCTATCTCATGTCACCTTTCTGGCCTCCTGAATCAGCATGTTCAGAGATGTTATTTACACACCTCTGGTGCAGGTGGGACATGAACCTTGGTCTTCTGGCTCAGAGGCACGGATACAACCATGAGAGCCCTCACCTCATTCTTCAATATTTTCTAATCAACCTGTTAAGAGACTTTATTACACATCTCTGGAGCAGGTAGGTCTTGCAACTGGGCCTCCTGGATCAGAGGTAGGGACATCACCACTGTACCACAAGAGCCCTTGCCTCATTCTTTTTTTTAAAATTTAACATATTTTTCTAATCAATCTGTTCAGAAATGTTATGACACTTCTCTAGAAGAGGTGGAACTTGAACACAGACCTCTCAGTCCAGGGATAGAGACACTACCACTATGCCACAAGAGCTCTCACCTCATTCTTCTCATCCATTTTTCCAATTAACCTATTCAGAGATGTTATTACACACCTCTTTAGCAGGTGGGACTTGAACCCAGGTCTCCCGGTCCTGGAGGAGAGAACTTCCACCGCGCCACAAAACCCTCACCTCACTCTTGTAAAAAGCTATTTTCAAATGAACCCGTTCAGGGATGTTATTACTCACCCTTGAAATAGGTGGGACTTGAACCCAGGCCTCCTGGCTCCAAGGTAGGGATACTACCACTGTATCATAGGACCCGTGGCCTCATTCTTGTACTGTTTTAAATTAACCTATTTTTTCTAACCAACCTATTCAAAAATGTGATTATATACTTCTGGAGCAGTTGGGACTTGAACCCAGGCCTCTTGGTTCAGGGCTGGGGGGTGCCTCATTCTTGTGAAATCAGATGAATAAAGTGCTCCACCTGTTTCGCTGTTCTTGATAAGTCAGTTTCTTTATCCCAGGAATCAGCCTCAGTCTCTCTTTTGAACTGCCTGCAATATCACTGCATCCTTTCTTAAATACTAGGACCAAAATTGTGCACAATACAGCGTCACCAGTAACAGGACTTCACTATTTTAAAATTTCAAACCCTAGCAATAAAGACCACAATTCCATTTGCCTTCTTAATTACTTGCTGCACTTGCATGCTAACGTTTTGTGTTTCATGCACAACACCACCCAAATCCCTTCAAACTACACATTTTTGGACTTGCTTTCTATTTAAATAATAGTTTGGTTTTTGATGCTATGATGTAAACTGTTTTCATTTGTGGTGAGTTTTTGAGTTGGCAATAAGCGGGTTTTCAGTGTCTGCAGTTAATGGCTACAAAAATGCTTGGAAGTTAATTATTATGATTTTTAAAAAATATAGATTTTAAGCCCAGATTTGGGGTGAATGGCACTACTAATGGAGTGACCCAGCAAGGTCAATCATAGAGTGTCAATGTCTATGAGAGA